GTTGGATCCAGACTAAGCCATGCTTATGGTTATACCGGGATCCAACTTATGTCATACTTAAGTTCTAGTGATTTCAATAGGAGTACTCTAAATATGGCTTTGTCTTGCTTCAAAGCATTATCTCCTGTAGGGCACCAATCATCTGCCTCTACCATTAGTCCTGGAACAAACAGGTTTGTGTGTTTTATGATGCTGACAGACACAGACACGACCTATGAATAGACACAATACTGGAACAGATGCGCAGTGCACAGACAATGAGGCTTCTAACATGCCAGTTCCACTATTAGTGTGGGGCAGAGATGGATTACCATCTTTCTCCAAACACTGAATAGCATTTCAACTTATTATTCCATGTTAAGCTCACAGTAAAGATTTCCGAGTTCCGCCTTTTCCAATTTGGTATCCTCCAACTCCCATCAGCCCCATCCTCCAGCCAGTGGTCAGCAATGATGGGAACCACAGAACAAGCCTCTGAAGGGTGCCATGTTGGATAAGGCTGTTCTAGTTACAGGGAGATAAACCATTCCATTGCCTCCATTCTACAGCACTGCATTTTAAGAATGCAGCATCAATGATGTTTTTACCTTCTTTGGGAGGAAGGTAAGATTTCTCCAAACCATGTGCTGAGAGACATCTTATGTGCAACACTTTCCCTATGCCAAGATCACTTCTGTGTAAGGGAAAACACATCTGCCACCAAATACAAGGTGAAGTCACAAGAGAGTTTCTTTTGCCACAAACATATGGATCAAGGAAGCAGCATGTGTTCTTGGAGCAATATATTCATCCATCTCCTATTTTATATGTAAGGGAATACAGCCTGGAAAAATATTTCAAGCCAAGTAGCCCTTTTGGATTAGTAAAAGTAGTTATTCAATCCTAAGCACAAAAGTCATTCAGTACCATAGTGTATGCACTGAAGACCATGTTTAGTTAATGGACTTGTGTGCTTAACCTAATGCAGCTTGTGATCATTCTGTGAAACTGCATTCTTTACAATCAGACTGTAAATCTACCATTCATCTTCAGAACAGAGAATCACTAGAAATTCTTTCTGATTGTTGATGATATAGACAATTGTTGAAGGGCAGTCCATTCAGGGACTTACAGTTCTTGCACAGTGTGAAGTGTTACAAGGAAAGTGTAAGGAAATGTTAAACTATGTGAAATGGAATAGATGGCACTGAAATATAAATGCTTTATGAAAACAGGCAATATTATCGTATGAAGGTCTGACTTTATAGGTCCTCAAGGACAAAAGAAAATATCACAGTCTGTCCCAATCTGGTGCCCTTCCCGTGTGTTGGGAAAGGCCATGCTGGCTGGGGGAAATGTAGGTGCAGTTCAACATATCAGGAGAGCACTAGATTGGGGAATGCTGACCAATCAGAACAAAACGATCTTGTAAGGACAATGTCACACCCATAACTGGGGCACTGTCCCCTGTGACATACCAAGGACAACAGCCACATCAAGGGCAATAATAGGAGAGCTGTCACCAGGAAATGATACGTGGAAAGATTTCAAAGGCACAAAATGACAGGTCAACACAATGCCTGCTAATTTCTCTCTTGCCATTCACTTTCCTTTTGTCCTTTAAAAACCTTCCCATCAGGCCCACTCTTGAAAGGTCAGAAAAGGGCCTTCTTTTGGGACATCTGAAAAATCCTTCTAGTCTATGGCAGCCTTCCTCAAGCCAGTTGAAGGCTACTGAACTAATCAATGGCTAATTCATTTCTACAAATAAAGACAGGCTCAAGATGTGTTGGGTGCAACATCTCCCTTTGAAAAGGAATCATTCTGCAATAGACAACATAATAATTGGGCATTATGTAATGCATATGTCCTATTATGTGTTTTTGAGGAGTGAGGTCAGGGTCCCATTAATGTGGGAAGGATTGTATCCAACCTTTTGCATGAGATAGTGACAAAAGGCCAGGTGATTTTAAATAGGCAACAAAATGGGCACTGAAGACGATTTCTGCTTTGCAGTACATTAAAGGGAATTAGTGACTGCCATGAAGTCGATTAGACCCAAAGAGTTCCTTTCTTCTATCTATATATTCAAAGTGCCAAAGAGATATTTGCTAGTTAGGTTGTATATTATCTCTTTTTAAAATCATGTTTATATTCTGGAGTACGCAGCTCCCAACCCTTGTGCAGAAACAGCCCTGAATTCTATTTCACAAGAGCTTTCAGGGGCCACATTCTAATGTCAGGCATAGCTAAGGCCAAAGAGATGGGGTCAAAATAACAAGAATACCAGCATATTTTAGCTTAAAATTCTCTTGCAGTCTTTTAGAATTGGACTGCACAAATGTCCAGAAACCACCAAAGGATCAGCAATCAGGGAAAGAGGGTGAGGTAGAGGAAAGGTGTGGGTCATTTGGGAGAATCCCAGGGCCTGAAATTCTGCACAGATGGTCTAGTCAGTATCACAGAAAGACTTCCTGGCTGACTCGATCTTTTCCATAGCTCAGGAGCAGAGCACACACGGTCCTGGTTTCACTCAATGGGGCTTTCGCACAAGACATTCTGCACAGATTATGCCCTCTGGCTGCAACCCAGCACAGAGCAACCCACCTCTAGGGACACCAAAATCTTACATGTTTTCAAGTTCACTGCCACTGCCTTACTCTAAGGGGCACTGGGAATTGTATTTCTGTGAGAACACTGTATATATCAAAAAAACTTTCATTAAAGCCTTTGTGGGAGCAGTTTATAGGATAAAGCCTTTGTTTATAGGATGAGATAGATGTTGGTCTCCTTCAAGCCAGCATTACGATTGCAGAATTTTTGTATATCCACATAGGTGACCTATATGCATAATTGTATGCAGAACTGCAGATATATTGACTTTTCTATTTGCACTTTAGCCTTGACATAAAGAGGTAGGAAGGTCAGGCAAGATATATCAGTGATCAAAATGTCAAAAATCTCTTCACGGTGCACAGATTAAATAAATGAAGAAAGGAGAGTATCCCAAAACTGAGATCTGCATGTTGGAGAGAAAATGCTGAAATTAGGAGCAAATCTTGCAAATATCAACTAAAAAATGCAATGACTTACTGTCTTACATGGACATTGAGAAAAATCAACTAAAATAACAGCATCAAATACTAATGGATTGTTTTCAAAAGAAATACACTTCAGGGCAAACTGAACAGACATAATGACTTTATGCTGTTGAGAGGCAAAGATTCCATCAATGAGGCTTTGATATCAAATGCAAAAACAGATATAGAAGTAGACAAGACCAGTATTTTTTCCAGAAGAAGCACCAGTTAATAAACTGATTTAAAAGAATTTACATGCAAGTCAGAGGTATGCATATAATAAACCTAGACACTTTGGTACTATCAGTTCAAGGGATTTTTCTCAGTTTCTGTGACTGGTGCAAACAGCTCGGGATATCTGCAGAGCTTGAGAGAGCTTGCATTTGGTGTATGTAAAATCGATGTTCTCTCCCCACCCTCTCACCCTCCACAAACACTGAACTTGTCCACCCCTACATGACATTGACTTGGTTGTTGCTTCCTTACTATAAAACAATTTGTCAAATAATAATAACAATAATTATAATTATAATAATTAATACAGGCATTTGAGCTTAGTTCCAAGAAATATGGCACATGAACTGGATTCAAAATCATGGCAATTCTCTGTTATATATGCAATTCATATTTCTTTACCAATCTGTAGAAGGCTCAGACTATAACATTTTGGCAACAAATGGCAATCCCTTGGTCTGAGCACAATGGACCAGGTTACAGTTCCTGCAGAGTTGGTTACAAACAGAATAAGAATGCACTGTTATTTGTTTCCCTTTTAATCTATAATATTTACAGTATTGCACTTTACTGCACTTAATTGCATTTCACTAAAATTAATGCTGCATCAGTATTATGCTTTTAAAATGGTGTGTCCATCTTTGACAGATGAATCAAGCACTCTAGATCCATTTAAAGCAAGAAGGCTTTCCTCAGAGATCCAGACGTCTGGAAATAAACATGGTGATATCAACCTGTTTTGCATGGCACAAGCATTTCAGTTTGTCCAGGTGGTTCATAGGAAAACAGATGTGTTCAGAATTGTTCCCATCATTTAGATCACTACTAATTTTGGTGTCTTTCCCCCTCTCACACGCAAGCACTTTCGTTGGTGTTGTTTTTGCTCCATGTGAAGGATGCAGCCAATTGGACTGTTTCAAGAATACTGCCTTGCCTCAGATCTGAAATTCCACATTTAAATTCAAACCAGTTCTGCAGCAGCTCCTTAATGATGGAAGAAATTCATGAGATTGAAATAATACTGTTGGCAACGAAGAAGAAATGTCATTTAATGGAGACCAGCCCCGAGGATCTTGTTTAAGCTTTTGTTTTGTTTCAGGGTAATTGATGATTTTTCAAAGGGTATTTAAAGTTAGGCACACGCACAAGGTAGCAAATCTGGCAGCAGCAAATTGTGTCAGGCTGATGGGATGATCGCTCTGGCCAGGGTCAAACTCCAGTTGTCCCAAGATTTCACAGATGCTGCATGATTTGGAGAGTTCCCCTCTGCCCGTCATTTATTTTCATCCGATAGTTTTCTGGATTGTTTTTTGTTTATTTTAATTGATACTTGTATGTAGAGTTCACACTGATTTTAAGTTGGTATTATGCATCTGGTGGCAGAAGAACAGTTTAACTGCAATCATTAGCACTAAGTGCCTTTTAAAAAATGAAAACAAAATAAAGGAAAAGGGAGGAGGAAGTAAGTTAAGCCGGTGAGTCCTTCAGTTCTTGATCAACTGAACAAGTTGCCGACATCTCTGAACAAAGGAAAGGAAAGGAAAGGAAAGGAAAGGAAAGGAAAGGAAAGGAAGAGGCCAGTGCTGATCATGTCTACAAGTACTCTCAGGCCTTTTAAAAGGTAGCAATTGTCCTTATCCCAGCCCAACTTGGATGAGAGAGCTATTGTCCTTTCCTGGCGATGAAAAGGCTTCTGGGAAGGAAATGTCAAAGTCCCAGGGCCTCAGCATGTTTCCGGGCCTTGAGCCTCAAGTCAGCGATACTGGAATTCTTGCTGTTGCTCTTTGCTGCAGCGGCAACTACTGCAGCTGCAGAGGCAGAATCTGCCAGGGAGGCGATAGGGAGTCCAAAAGGGGGCGGGGGGAACATCAGGTAAGGGGCATGAGCAGCCAGGTGAGGGTGGAGGTGAGGGTGAGCATGAGTGACACCTTCCAGCTGCAGCTGAGCTTGGACCTGGAGGGGAAAAGCCACAGAAAAGGAAGCAAAGAATGAATAATGGGGCTTCTAATTGGGCGTGCCAAAAAACGGCCTCTGTGTGTCTGTAAACAGCTTGTCACCAATGGTTGTAACTCTGAGTAGGCCAGGCTTTCTCAAGCACAAGGTACAATCAAGACAGGCATTGATTAAAGAGCACATGCAAATATTACAATCTAGACTCTTTCTTGCATCTCAAGCTTTTAATCCCACTTTGCCCAGTGCCACTGGACGGAGATAGTAACCAAGCTAGCAACACCTCTTTTCTGGCTGAACTACCACATACCAGGTTTACTGCCCTACTGACTTTGAAATACCAGTGTTGTCCTTTTCTGGAACTGCTACAAGATAACTCTTCCAAATAATCCCCCGTTCCCTTTCTGGACTGTAGGCAGGATAGGCAGCTCCAATCCAGCAAGATTGTTTGCATTGATCAGACAAATAAGATTGGTGCTTCCTGAAAAATAAACGCCCCATGCTTCTTTCCCTCCAAGACACACACCTGTTGCTGCAGTCACCTGCTAAAGCTCTTGTGGTTAAAGGATACCTGAATATCTAAAGGAACATCTCCATTTATATAAACCTACCTGTGCCATAAGACCTTCATCAAAGGTCCTGCTTTGGGACCCACCTTTAAGGATGCTAGGGCAGCTACTCAGTGTAGGGCCTTTTCAGTTGTGGTGCCCCATTTTTTGAATCAGCTGCCCAGAGATGTGCACCAGGCGCCTACCTTGTACGCATTTGGCACCAAGGCAAAGACTTTTTTAATTTTCAGAGTATTTTAATTGTCGACAGTGTTGATTTCAATTTTAAGTTAGTATTTTATGAATTATAAAATTGTACTTGGCTTTTCACATACATAAAATGTGTCCAAACTGGGCACTGCATGAGGTTAGCACTGCTGGTGTCCTGCTAGTGGGATTTACTTATATATTAAAAGTATTTCTATCCCATCCTTCATCAGGTCTCAGGATGGCAATACAAGAATAAAGCACAGCATCAACAAATAAGTACCCATTTTTAAAACAACGTCCGATCTCAAAATATTGGGGAAATAAAAAGGATTTAGCCTGGTGCCAAAATGAATAAAGTGTTGGTGCCAGGCACACCTTTCTGAGGAACAAGTCCCAAAGCCAGGGTGCCACCTCAGAGAAGGCCCTTCTGTGGTAGCCACCCAACGGGAACTCCTGATGAAGGACCTCCAGTTCTTAGGGAATGGGCAGGTATATATGGAAGGAGACGCTCCTTCAGATAAACCTAAACTGAATTAGTCCTAAACCCAAATTCAAGTCCTAAACCGAATTAATTGTTTTATTTACTGAATTTGTTTACAATGTTTTGTGGATTATGTCTTTTGTCTTAGTGTACTTTACATTGTTGCAAACCCTTGTAAACCATCCAGAGTGTCATGTGGCTATTGTGATGGTCTATAAAAGCTTGAATGCATGAATAAATAATATAAAGTAAATTTGAATTGGTGTTAATACCAATGGACATTTAACTTACAGCACAATCCAGTGCAGAGCTATGCCTTCAAAATAGCGAAGCATAGTTCAGGTAACTTCGTTGGCTATTAGCAAACCCATATATGCTTTAAGATGGCCATTTAATCCAGAAAATGTTGAAATGAAAGTGGTAGGGATGTGCCTTCACTGACAGCTTGATCCTATTCAGAGTTAGGCAAGCTAGGAAAGGAACCACATACTTCCATTCCCTTCCCCTTATTTTCTCACTTTTGCATTGTGTGTGTGTGTGTGTGTATTCCAAAGTTATCCCCAAGTGAATTCAGTGGTACTTAAGCATACATATGTTTGCAGTCTAAATTCCTTTGCAATCTTTGCCATTGTTTTTTTTAATCATCTGTTTTAGCTTTTAGATTAATTTCAGTTTGATTTAATTTGATTCAATGGTGCTTCCTTCTGAGGAGGTCCAGCATGTGTTCAACTCTGCTAAGCATGAATGAGCACTGTTCCTCCCTCTTGAAAACCTGCATGGAAGGTGTGCCCATTTCTGCATAACAGGATGTTATGCTTGATTCATAATGGAGAAAAAGGCAAGCCAGTCAGGATCAAAGGAGGAAAAATGAGCTACCTGCTGGAAAGGCATCCTCAAGGCACCCATGTTCACATAAGGAGCCACTCGACAGGCATCTAAATGGCTGGCCGTCCCCAAGATCACACCTGCAGGCAGAGACAACCAGCCGGGTGAGGAAACAGAACCAAACAGCTACCGGAATGGCTCACTGCCATCCTCATATCCTGCCACCCTCCCTGGGTGGTGCCTACCTTTGTGCATCTGGTTCTCTTGTTTCCGACATTTGGCTCTTCTGTTCTGGAACCAAACCTGCCAAAAGAAGAGGGGAAGGCAGCTGGTAATAACAAGAAGGAACAGCCGAGGCTAGGGAGGAGCCAGCTCCCCAACCTTTGCTGAAAGTCAAAAGACAAAAGAGTTTGGGGCTGCAAAAGAGTTTGGAGCGTGAGAAGAAAATGGCGGCTCAGCACAGAGCAGTAGAGCTCTGTGATCTGCTAGATCTCATCAAGGATTTTGATTCCCCACTATATAGCGAACAGCAACAGTCACAACATGACTCCAGCTTCAACCGTACAACTGAAGTGAAGAAAGCTTGCAGCCTCCAGGAATGAATGTGTCTGAGAAAGACATCCACATCCCCCAGAGATGCTGGGACAAATTGTAGGACCTTTTTCTGTCTAAATATGCACAGGATTGCAGTGTGTGTCTTTGACCCCTTGCTGCCATTGGTAGATCTCTAATAACAAAAAATGTAGATTCCACCAACCTGCCTTCTGCCTAATGAATTGCTCATGTCTCCATTGAAGTTAGTCAAAGACAGAAAACCTTTTAAAGTTGTTGGTAATGGCAAGGAGGTGGCAAGTGACTCAGGGTAGGATCCTACATGTGACTCCTCAAAAAGCTAAGTTCAGTGGAGAAGATTCCCAGAGAAATGTGTACAGCTACTGGGAGGTGGGGGAACGTCCTGGACTACAACTCCTTTCATCCTTTTCCATTGACTTTGCTGGGGCTGATGTGAGTTGGGGTCCAATAACATCAGGAAGGCCACAGAGTTCTCTTCCTTTCAGCTTGTGTTCCTTGTTCAGTTTTTAAGAAGAAAGTGGAGAAAGTTCTTTCTGATCCATCCCCATCACCAGTGATATACCCTACACTAGGCCGCTTATACACTCAATGTTCTAGCACAGCAAAAACAAACAAACAAACGGAAAATGCAGATCTACAGCATATTCTTTTTCACTATTGGAATGACAGGAAACATTCCTATGCATGTTTAGACAGACAAGGCAAATTCCTACAACTCCCGGTATGCCCCATCCACCAGGATTGCTCCCTTGAGCTACCTGCTTCAGCACATGTCTGGATTGGCACAATTCTGTACGAGAGCCAAGGGAAGATACATTGTATGCGACCTCTCTCCTAAGAATAGTGGCGTTCTGTTTCATTTTGGTATTAATATCATCACATTATACTTTATATCCCACCTTTCTCTCCAGCAAAGAACCCATGGCAGCTTGCATAGTCCTCTCCATTTTCTTCTCACAACAGCCCCGCGGAGTGGGTTAGGCTGAGAGTCTGTGACTGGCCCAAAGACACCCAGGGAGTTTCTTGGCTCAGTGAGGACTAGAACCTCGATCCCCTGAGTCCCATTCCAACACTATAGCCCTACACTACTCTGGATCTTATAAGTACATTCTTTTAATATATAGCATAAGCAGGAGAAGTCATAAGACAGGTTTGATGTGGAGAGATGGTAGGTGGAAATAGTTCAGATGAGATCCAGTTACTCAGCCTCCAGCCTGCAAGAACAGAGAGTGAGAGAAAAATATAGCAGCGGTGGCTTGGGAGAACACTTCCATTTCTGCAGTAAAATCACAGGCTGTTTTGGAAAAATAGTCCTGAGTATCCCCTGCTACCAAATGGGGATGTTACATGATGGTCCTAAGCACATTTACTCAACACTTAGCCCCACTGATTTCGAAGAGCAGTAGCATTCTGTGGCAGCGGGTCCAATTTAAGAAAGCCCATGAAGACCCCCAGTGCTCTCTTCAGTCAGTTCCATTCATAATGAGATTTACTTCCATGTCAAAGTTAAAGGAAGCAGGAGGTGAGTGCTAGAGTGCAATATAATCCGAATAACAGCAGCTCCTCAAAGACAGATGAGGCAAGGGCTAGAGGCAATCAGGAAACAGTCAAATCACTGTTGCTCAAACAGAAAGTTAGACTAGCATCCTAGCCCATTATGACTGCCATCTAACCTGTCTGTGAGAGATTCTTATTTTCTTAGCTATGAAGGAGTGCTTAGTCATGTGAACCTACATCTGCAGACTGAAGTCATGCTGACCCAGTCCAATTTTCTGCTTCTGCAAGAAAAAAAATCTTGCATATTGTAAATCTTTTAAATGCTGTCTTTCTTTAGTCACTATTTTTTGGTACACATAATAGTTTATCATTGGTTTTATTTTATTTTTTATTATGTACCTTGCTCACAGAGTTTTGCCTATAGGGTGATTCAGAAGGTTAATGAAGGAATGAATGACTCTAACTACACTTTTAACTCTTCAAATATATCCAGAGGAATTCAGCAGCCAAGGGGAGTGGAAAGAAGATCTAAATGACTCCAGGAAAGTAGGAAGGCATCAAGAGCCAATATGCCAGGGGTCTTCCTTTCACTAAGCATTTGTTTTGCATGTAGAAGGTCACACACTCAATTGCAGCATCTTCCGGTAGGGCTGGAAGAACTCCTGCCTCAAACCTTAGTTTGGGACTGCCAGTTGGTGTCAAGAATACTAGGCTAGAAGGACAAACTCCACTTAAGGCAACTTTCTAGAGACCACTTGAGATTTTAACTGCAAACAAACCAATGCATTTTAAGAGGTGCTCCTGTGACTATTCTCATAGAATCATAGAATAGTAGAATCGGAAGGAGCCATGAAGGCCATTGAGTACAACCCACTGCTGTTGTAGGACTTCATACTACACCATCCCATTCAGATGGCTATCCAGTTTCTGTGTGAATGTCAAAGAGAATTCTTCTTCATCTCATGGTAGTAATTTAAGAATATAAATCAGGAACATGTAGACATTAAGCAAAGTAATTTCTGCCTTTGACACAGGTCTATTTAATGGTTTACAAGTCATGTCTGCTCTCATATAAGATCCACTGAATAAGACATACTATCTGGTGAATGCATACAGGGGTGCAGATTTGATTTAGAGTAGTTGTGCCTTTGTGAAGCTGGTAACTCAGATAGAAATAGGGATAGTCCTGAAGAACAATTACGCATGGGGCAAAATCCAGTGAGTCTACATAGAGGAGACCAGCTGAAATGAATGGGATGATTAATAAGTCTTATTCATTTCAATAGGTCTTTTCTAAATAGGGCTTATGTTGGATTTTACCCATAGTTTGAAAAGAAAAGGAGTCATTTCCCATGATGACTACTAAGAAATAGAGAATTTCAGGAACAGGTAGGCCAGAATAATAAAATGCCTGATTGCTGTAATTCAGCTAATGATGGGTCATGGTCATCATTTTCACAGGGTGGAGTACATCATTGGCTCTACCCCTAGACTCACCATTTTGCACCTGGCTCCAGTGGGTAGACCTTGGCTCTTCTAATAAAACAACATCAGAGTAGATCTGCCCTTCTTTTTTAGGGGCTAAAAAAGAAACCATGTAGGGAAGCTAAAGTCAGGGATGGGCAACATGTGGTCTTCAAGCTAAGGCCTGAAGCTCCCACCATCACTCACCATTGGCAACATTGGCTGGGGCTGATGGGAACTCTAGATCAAGATATTTGGGTGTTCACCACTTGCCCGCTCCTTCTCAAGGGTAGCTCCATTAGCAAGGAAGCCAGCCAGCCAGGGAAAGAGGGAAAGGTGCACACTGATTCAGAAATCATCTTCGCAATCAGCCAGATTTGGAAAGGATTATTGGGCAAAGCTTCTTCCTCTTAAGTTACTACACATGGGGCGAGCATGCACAGCTACACGGATCACATCAACAGAGCGGGTGCCAACGTTCAGCAAGGCTTTGGCACCGTGCATCCCATGTGCTAGCCCAGCATCGACTCTCACCAGCAGGTCTTTCTGCCGCCCTCCCAACGTCTCCCAGGCTGGGCCAAGCAGGTGCGCAGTGTGGCATCCCATCAGGTTCCTTTTGAACCCTCTTCAATATCGCGCAATCCGGCCACCTCCCATTGACTTGACCCATGTCAGGACACTCAACAAACAAGCCAATAAGTCAATAAGCCAAACAAGTGTCAATCAACACATGATTTCTTTCCCGTTTCAGGTGCTGAATTTCATGACTTGACAAGCAGTACACCTCCTGCTGTTCATCTTTTTATGATTCCAGACAAGTTCTCCATGGCCTATTAGAGTATCCAACCACTGATCCATATCTCAATTAAATTCAGACATGTGTGGCCTGTTGGACTTGCATTTCCCTGGGAGTAAGTCCCACAGTTCAATGGGACTTACTCCCAAGTAGTTGTACATACAACGGAGGCTGAGCATAACGGAGCTGCCCACTTACATAGATAGATTAGTCCTTATAGAACTTTATATTCCAGAAAGTAGCCCTGTTGTTCTGTTACAGGAGAAAGAGTAATGAGTAAGACTACTTTTAAGAAGAGGAAGGCTTGTTGTAGATTCATGCCTTACAAAACAACATCATCTCATGCAAGGAAGTCCATTCCATTGAACTCCGTGGAGTTTACTTAAAAGCAAGTACGATTAGGATCACGCTACATGGCCCTGATCCTAAACTGCTTCTTTAAAACAAAATAAAAGGGAATTCCACTTATGCAGCAGTAAATTTAGCATTGTGAAAGTTCCAAGACTATTGTCACAATGAGCAGAACTGTATTAATCTGAGTGATTTCCAGCTAGATCATTAATTTAAACTGAGTTTGTGGAGCCGATGGTAAATCCTTACCATGGTTAGGCACTGATTTTTAAACAGGCTTTACTTTCAGGCCACACTCAAAATCTTTCCAAATTTGGGTTTAAGGAATTATTTCTAATCTTGCCATCTGTATTTATTCATTTTTAAAGATACAGTCCAGTAATCCTCCTCTCCTAATTCCGGAAATTCCTGATTATACAACATTCAGGAGTGTCCCTATAGTTCCCCGGAGTGCCAAAGAGACAGTATGGAGAGTTTCTCCCTTGAGAGAAGTTTTGCAAACATGTTTTAAGGATTATGCTTAGTGTAGCTCCCTATCCCGCCCCCGTGAAATCTAACTTTAGTCCGTCAGCCACTGTCTGCAGAGACGGATCAAATCTGGAAGTTAAGCAAACATCCCCTCGCCTCGCTCCGCCCCCTCCCAGTTCTTCCACTTGCCAAGTTGATCGTACGGTTAATTAATACTAACTGCACTTCCTACATCACATTTCGCCTCCAAGCTTTCTTCAATTGCCTTAATGATGGCCATTTACAACGGAGTAATTAGTGCAAAGAAAGGCTTGCAAAGACATTAATTATCCAGGGGTATTGGAGTGGTTTTCTTAAACAGGAATTGGCCGCCTTTACACTGGAGCACGTGGGATGAATTCCACCACCCACCGGGTCGTCAATAGGCGATGCCTTGAATTAATGCCGTGTGGGGGGAGAGAAACGGCGCGACGTCTGAGTGTTTCCTGAACTTTTAAAACAGGATCTTTCGTTCTCTTTGCCGATCTGTCTGCTCCCCTTGCCCCTCCTTTTCCATTGTCGCTCGGAAATCCTTTAGCGGATGGATCCTTCCCTAACCCGGCATCCCTGCTCACAGAGGACTAACACTTCGACCCTGAACCATCCTCCACCCCTCCCTCTGGAGCAAATGTCATTGATTTCCGTGAAAGTGGCTTCCACCTAGGTGTGTTGAGAGTTACAACTTTAATCAATTTCCGTCCAAATCCTTCTATTATAATCGAGTTTTGCTTTGACTGAGAGTAAAATGAGCAGCTCCACTTTAAAAGAAAAGTTTCTTCTTCTCCATAAAACGAGCTGGCATAGTTATCAATATCACCTCCAACGGGATCTCTAGCCTGCGAGTAACAATATCAGCCACAACAGCCAAACTCATCTAATTTTGAACACATACAAAGTAATTTAAAAAAAAATGAGTTGCACTAGGTACGGAAAGATCGGGGCCTCGGGCACACAGGACAAAAACGTACACAAATTTGAACATGCAAATTTAGCGCATGCTCTGGAACACCCTGCTTGTAAAAAGGGGTGTCTGGTCAGGAGGGAGAAGAGCGTTTGATTTCAGGAGGGGCAATGAAGTGAGAAACATTAGGGACAAGGTCTGGCAGCAAGAGGCCAAGTGCCTGCGAGTAAAAAGCCAGCCAACCCCAGGAGGTCCAGCGGCTGCAGTGCCCCAGCACCCAGGCAGGGCCGCCTTAACCGCGTTACGGGCCCCGGGCAAAGCAGTGTACTGGGGTCCCTACGACGACTACTGTTCATTTTCCAATTTTCCAAGGGTTCACATACACAGATTAGTACGGGGCCCAGGGGCAAGTGTCCATCAGGCCCATGCGTTCAGACGGCCCTGCACCCAGGTCCACGGGCAGCAGGGTGCTGGGCCTCATGACCTCCTCGAAATTGGGCCTGCAACCCCAGCCTGCCCGCCTTCTAACCCTGCTTCTGATTTAGGACCTCTTAAGTTCCTCTAAGGAACGGGCTTCCAAAAAGTTGGAAATGGAAGACCATCAGCCATTCTTCTGAGGAGAGAAGTGGTCGAAGAGAAAACCATCAGGAGAATCAACCACGGGTGAGAATGAGTCTATATATCCAGGAGTGCCGCCCTTTATGCAATGTGAATGACTCTGAAAGAATCGCCAGGACCAGCTTCCGTGCTAATCCGGATTGGAGAGCCAACTCCACCGTACGGATGCTAAGCTGCGGCGAGCATTCTCCATCCTCCCTGGGCTTTGTCCCCGTCTATCATTCTGAGACGTGAGCAGGGGGATCTGACCTCCCGTCGGGGAGCAGGCGGGTATTAAACTCAGAGGCGGACCTTTCCTTGGCCACTGCGCGGGCCCCTGGCGCTGAGCCTCGCTAGGGGGGTGGCTGCAAAACGGCGCGGAGGGGCAACGGAGGGGTGCTGGCGAGCAATGAGGCGTCCTGAAATCCGTAGCCGGGGCTGCTGAAGCCCACGGTCTGCGGAGCTGAGAAAGGAAGCGCGCCCCTTCCCTTTCAGCTCTGGAAGAGAAGGAGAAAGTGATGAGGAGAAGAAGTGATGAATTTAGCCCGCGCGCGGCGCCATCATAAATCAGCCCGGGTGTGATTCCCGATCAATTCCAACTAGTCATGAATATGCTAAGTAAAGCGCAGGACAGTGTTTTAGACAGTTATTTCTTCATTAAGGATCACTCAGTGATTTCTTTCACAAATGCTCTAATCTGATTTCCTTTTGATTTCCATTAGAGACAGTGAATAATGACATTTAATTTAGCCCTGCGCCATAAAACCCAAAGATATTTGCTCGTAATTGAATTACTGCCTGCTCCTCACTATGGTCTCATAACTTTCAATTATAACCCTGACAGCTGGGCGATATGAGTTGCCGGTACAACACTAAAAATAAAAGGTTAATAAGGACTAGCTACCGTAGGAGCTCCAATTTATTTACAGCACATTTCCACTCTAAATTGAAACTAGATCCTTTAACAACAAGGGACAGGCGCTACTGACTGGGATTAGGAAGCAATTCTGAGAGTATTAAAATGTCTTTTGGTTTCCACCGCCACCACCCATCTTCTGTCTCTTTAACCAAGAAAAAGGAGCCATTCCAGGACTGTTTCAACTCTTTATGTTTTAATTAAAAAAAAATCTCTCTTAAATGGCTTTCCCCGGTTCTTCACATTTTCCTTTCTTCTTTAAAAACAAAATGGAAATGCAGGGAGAGATCGAGCTACCCTCGGAATTGCCATCCAAATCATGTGAGAACTGAGGAAGCAGAGGACTGGAGGAGGAAATATTTCAAAACCTGCAAGCACTTGAAATGCCAATTTTCCTGTAACTATGAATATCCTGTTCAAGTGCCAGGCTACTTCAGTAATAAACTACTTGAAAGAAAGTGCAAAATTCAATTACAGGTAAATTATTTTTCTAGAAACACTACAAGTAATTTATTTTTATAGAAAGGCAATATCAAGGCTCTGGTGAGATATTATACGGGCTCTCCTAGAAGGAGATGGAAAGATGGCATAAAAGTTGATGTCCCCTTCAGCCAAAGTTCAATCTTTTTATTCATTTACCTTGGGTGGTTAGATCAATCTTTAGTGGGGAGGAGCTGAGGGGGACCAGTGGAAGTCCCTGCCTCCCTCACTCTCTGAATATTCCCCTGATGCTTTCCTTTGCATGGGCAAATCAAGAAGCCCCATTCCCTTACTTGGAATATTTCATTTATGAAAACTGTTCAGGGAAAAGAGCTGGTTTTTCTATTTATTTTTGGAGAAAGGATGACAAAGAAAGAAGTATTTTTAAAAGTTGGACATCTGATCCTCACTGAGAAAAAGAATTTTTCACAGGCATTTCAGAAATCCAAACCTCTAGTTCCTAGGATAGATACGTAAACACACACACTCGAAACACACAACCTGGAAGTAAATCTCACTGAAATTACTGAGATATTCAAACTGAATTAGTATTTGGATCAGGTTGAGATTCTCCTTTTCAGGGTGCCCTCCCCATTTTTTAAAAATCTATGGACATAGAAGTGTCCATTAAAGGAGGTTTTGCTGTTGTGGTCGCTTTCTAAGAATAAGAAGTCCAGTGGAGCTGGATCTTCACGTGTCTTTGACCCGGAAGCGATACTCCATAGCTCCACAGGTTGATCTTATTAATTCCTTTCTTTGCATAATATCCAAATGAGGGACTCGAAAGCAGTGCTATGGACGGGTTTTCTTCCCTTCTTTTTCATTAGCTTGTTTTGTTCTTTACTATGAACAAGCCTAAGCAACGGATATTCGTTTTCGTTCTTTTCATCTATATTTTAACGTTTATTTTAAGACAACAATCTGCTCCCGTGGACTCATATTCCCTAGCAGAATCATTAGCAGTCGAGCCATTCAAACGTATTCTCGAGCAGACCTGCTATTGGAAGGGAGCTGGGATGCGGGAGAGAAAAGGCGAACGGAGCAGATGGGGCCCTATGAATTCATACCCTTGTTATGCAAGTCAAATCGAGGCACTTCCCGCCCGCCCCCGCGCCCCCGCCCCCGGATCTGGATAATCCAGTCCCAAAGCACCCACCCAGCCCCGCTTCATCCGCACCAATTGTTCTTTCCACCACCAGCACCGCTTGAAAACGGGGGGGGGGGGGGGGCGAAAGGGTTTGGGGCTGTTGCTTGCTTGGCTGCTGAGCGGGGCCACGGAGGGAGCACCGCAGCCGGCCGAGGAGGCGCCCAGCTTCCCGTGGAAGGGCAGGGAAGTGGGGCGGCGTCGGGGGCTGAAAGGCGCATCGGCTGGCCGCCCCGTCCCGCCCCGCCCGCCGTGGTCCCGCGCGACGCGGGTTCAAGCGGCGGAGAACGGGAGCCGCCCTTACCTGGACCCTGGCTTCAGACAGCCCCAGCCTTTGGCTCAGCTCCTCCCTCATGAAGGCATCCGGGTAGTGCGTCTCGTCGAACAGCCTCTCCAGTTCGTTCAGCTGCTCCAGTGTGAAGTTGGTTCTGCTCCTCCTCTGCTTCAGCTTGGTCTGCCCGTCCTCGTCTTCGGATTTCACCTCCTCCCGCTTGTCCTTGCACTCGTAGATGCCTGCCGGGGATCGGGGGCGGCGGGAGGAAACCAACACAGTAAAGTTGGACACCAGAAGCTTCCTCGTTCCCCCGCGCCCACGAAGCAGCGCGGGTGGGCACAGACATGCTTTCCCCCTGCCGACAAAGCAGGCAATGGGCCCACCAGTTGCCCGAAAAAAGCCCGCGAGTGGAAACATCCCAGATGCATGACTCAAACGAGTTTGTGTCTGAGAACCGGTTCAGACTTACTCAGCAAGCTTTCAGACCCCATAGGAGGCTTCGTCTGGGCAATGTAGAATCGAGTGTCACTCCCGTTGGCATAACTCATCTGCCACGTGCAGATTAGTTATCTGGGAGTGGGGGGGGGGGTGAACTAGAACTAGAGTCCCCGTTCTCCAGCGAAGTTGCCAGCTGCCTTTCATTGGAAGGGACGTCTCCCCCCAGCCCCACCTCCACCCCCACCAACGTGCACTTTACACTCTTATTGCACAGCCCTCCAAGAAAATCCTTCAAATCCAGGCGTGTGGCCTGGATTGCTGAACCGGCGGGCCGCGTGAGCACAGAGCCAGGCGATGCCCTGCGCGAGCCAAGAGGCACAACCCTTGGGGGGATTCGAATTAGCAGAGGAAACGAAGGCGGACGTCCACCGTGCCCAGTTAGCTGCCTCCGTCTGGGGAGCAGCAAGGATGCCCTGAGCCGGATCAGGCCCTCGGCATGCACCCTAGAGACTTGGGGTGGGACTTGAAGACACGGGGGACGTCTGGGGCGGGGCGGGGCGGGGCGGGGGGAACAGGAGCAAGAGGCGCGGTGTCGTTCGTGGGTACTCCGAAGGGCATGTGACCCCGGGCCTGCGACTGGGCTCGGCAGGAAAGGTGCAGGGCGACGGCGGCAGGCTAGCCGCGCCGCACAAGGCACGTCGGAGCGGGGCCTGCGCGGCCACGTCGCCGCAGGGCTTCGCGCTGGCCCTGCGGGAGGAGCAGGGCCGACCGTGGCCCGAGCGGGCCTCGCTGCCATCCTTGCGGGCCGCTGTCGCCGCACCAAGCCGAGGAGAAGGGGCGGCGGGAGCGGCCGTGCCCTCGCCGGGCAAGCTTCGCGAGCACCGAGGCCAAGGAGCGCGCGGTGCAGCCCCGCCGAGCCGCGCGGGGGCCGCGTGGAGAACGGCCTAGGACGTGGCCTGCGCGTTTCTCTCGCCAGGCCCGCATCTAGGAGGAGCGCCTGCAGCCGCTTCCCTTTCCCCACGACGTCACACTCTGAACGTCACATTTCAAAAGAAAAGGAGGGCGTAATAATGTGACGAAGCTGGAGGGGGGAGCGCGTTCTAGGCGCCCATTGTCATCTTCCTCGCCTTCTGAAGGCAGAGACAAGTGCACTTTCTGGGCTGGGTAGGGAAGGCAGCGTTCCTCTTTGGACTGTCGCAGGAGAAAAGCCAAGTCACAGCAAAGCATCTTGTAGCAACCACCTTTCACCCGGATGCCAAGCAGGAGTTACTCCTACTAAATTCAACAGGACTCCCTTCCTCTCAATTTAGGTGGACAAAAGCAGTGCAGCTGATCTGATTTTTCGCTCCCGCCATCCTACAGAGCAGCCTCAAAATTTATGTCTTGGAAGCAAAACCCACAGATTCTTCTGTAACTGCCCCCTAAATAAAAGTGGCTGGAATTGGATGCCCTGCCCCTCTATACCCATTTACTTGCCAGTAATCATCGAAGCTCAATAGGGTTTACTTCCAAGTAAAAAGGTTTAACGATCAAATTTTGCTTGTGAGATACATTGAAAAGCAAATACATTTCAGAATCCTTGTCCTAGTGCACATTGAAAATAAAAGCAAAGAACTATAACATACCCTTAATCAGAAGATCTTTATGATTAGGTTATTACTTTTTAAAATGCAATTCAGAATTGTTGAATGCAAAATAGATAATTGGAAGGCTGAAGTATGCCTATATGCTGATGTTTGTTTTCCACAATGCTGTGAAAAGGACCAGACAAAGGTAAATTAATCTAATGCACTATTTTCACCAACACCTGGATCTTTCAGCACATTATCTATTAGTCACTTGCATGATTCCAATGGAATTTACTTCCTGCCCAAGAACTCAGCATCTACCCTCCCCGTTCCCACCCACCCAGCCTTCCAATGGTTCCCCTTTTCACAAGTCTTTTGATGGATGCACTTTTTGTGAATGTTGCATTGGCAATGTTTATTGTACTGCTCTCACTCCAGGAATTCCTGCTTCTGAAGATGACATTATCCTTTTGAATTGAAGATTTCACCAAAAAGGAATGCTGACTTGAGGGGGGGAATGCATTACGATCTTTTACATTCATATTTCAACCCAGGTCTTAAGCAAGAAATACTTTTCTAGTGCGTGTGTGTGAAATTAAACCACTGTCTCCTAAAATAATAAAGGTGTATTGGAATTGATGGCATCTAAGTATTTTGATCTCTGAGTAGTTCACTCATCAAAAAAGGAAACATTATTCAGTCTACTCCAAAAGGCCTTGAACTAGAAATATACAGGTCTGTCTAGAATATTTTTTTAATCCAAATGATTAAACTAAAGCACCTAAGAATTTAAATGATTATCGTTTCTGTCCTATGTCTGAACTCCTGTTTACATCTTTAATGGAACTAACAGACAAAATAAAAACTGAACGATGAATCATATGAGAAACTGGGATTATGCAGTATACAGATTTGACTAAGAGGCCCTTTCTGAAAATGATTGCTTTATTTTTAAATGGATGAAATGCCAATAATTATCCCAAATACCTAAATGCTGTCAATTCCACTGTACAGTCATCGTTACAGAAAACAAGCCAGCAGGAAGGACATTGAGACAAGATTGTTTTAGGAAACAGAAGGCTGCAGATCAGGGGTTTTAACTGGTTCTCCTTCCAAATTCTATTTTGAAGTACCTCATACAGAACCACTCTCCTGCCAGTCCTTATTTCTCAGAGATTGTTGCATTTAATCCCATCAGGTTTGCCCAGTAGTTGAAGAACCACAAACCCCGTTTCCAGGGCCGGAAAAACACTTTCTCAACTTTCTAAATGACTTTCTCCTCTCCCCCACTTTTTGGTGGGGGAATCGCATTTTAAATGGCTTATTCTGCAGGCGCCGGTGAACGAAGGAAGAACGAGCTCCCACCGTTCACGGAAAGGGGCATAAGGACCTGAACCCGGGCGAGGCTGACAAGAGGCACGCGGAAATCCAGGAACCGCACGAAATCTGGGCCGAGGGGTTTCCTTTTGGATCTCTGCCCCTCGCCGGCTCCTCTGGCCACCAGTTTCCCCAAGTCTCCAAGAAACAGGGGGGAGCCACGGGCGAAGCCGCGATGCTCGATCCGGACCACATTCCATCCCCGCACCCGGACGAATTCGGAACCGGATCGCCCCGCTGCATTTCTCTACGCCTGCTTCTTCCTCGCCTATTGTTTAAAGCGCCGAAAGAGAAAGCGGAAAGGACGTGAAGTTTCCTCCCCGCTGCCTATGCTTCCTCAACCGCAAATTAGTTTATGATCCGCGCGATCTCCGTTGGCCGGGCGAGCGGGTTCGGAAGCTCCCTATCTCTGGGTCTAGCGGCCGCTCTCCTCCGAAAGTGCCGGCCCGTGTCAGCCGGCGGGCCGGTCCTCCCGGCAGACGGGGGATCGGCCCCGGCGCCCCGGGCCCTCGGGCGGGCGGGGACGGAGAGGGCGAGCCGAAGCCCGCTCCCCGGGCGGCCCGGCCGGGCGCACGCGCCGCCTTACCTTCCGAGGTCCTGCTGGCGTGGTTGAAGTCCTTGAGCTTCTCCTTCTCGCCGTCCGCGTGGTCCTTGAAGAGGTGCGCCGGGCAGTGCGCGCCGCTCTCGGCCAGGTCCTGCAGGCCCCCGGCGTCCGAGTTGCCCAGCTCCCGGGAGCGCGCCAGCCCGCTCTCCAAAACTTCCCTGTACGACGTGATGGTCTCCTTCTTGTGGCCGCCGCCGCCGCCGCCGCCGCCGCCGCCGCCCCCGCTGCCGCCGCCGCCGC